TTTATGCTGGAATTTTTTTTTTTTTGAGGGTGGGGGTGGCTTTCTCAGTAGGACTTAAAATCAGTAAGGTCTGTTTTAGATGCTTTCTGAAGAAGGTCAAAGCCACAGCTTGACCATTAGGTTAGTCAAAAGACGAGTGACTTGTTTCAGAAGCAGAACTACTGGCTTCTGAAAATAAAGAAGCAAATATTTGATCTCCTGGCTGAATTCCAATTTTTATAATTATATTTTGTCTCCTTAAAATGTTCTCCTCACTTTCAGCTTGGTTTGGTAGCTGTCAGATCCTGTTCTCAGATGATTATTGAAAGTGCTGTATGCTGTTGTATTCCCACCCTGGTAAGATATGTAGTCTTCAGTGATGTGTGAAGTGATACCCATGTTTATGTGTCTGGACTGTGCCCGGGCTCAGTATGGCTGTACACGCTGTGAGGTCGTAGGGAGTTCAGATCCCCTGTGCCTCCTACTCGGGCCGGTCACTTCTGCAGTCCTTGCAGAGTAGCAAGAGCCTCTCCATCGCAGCTGGGGAAGATGCAGAAAGTCAGGTCTCACCCTTGATCTCTTGCCAGAGTGATGAGTTTGTTCCTTCTGTTCCTTACTCATACCCCTGAGTAAGGAATGTTGTAGCAGCTTGTGTACCAGAGAGCTCTGACAATGTACTTTACAAAGCTACAGTGCTTCCTAGGACCTCTAGGGCTGTGTACCCCCTCTAGTGTAAGATGAGCCCATTTTCTATAGTCTGGAATTTACTCAGAGATGAAAATCACTCTCTGCATGCTGCAAGTGCTTGCTTGCTAGTGCCATTAGAAGGATGTAAATTATTTCCTTTATTTGTGAGCTGCAGCTTTTATAAGTGAAGAATCCACAGTGGAATGCATTTTGAAGCAAGTTACTTTGGCAAAAGATTTCAAAATCTGTTGTATGATATCAGGATTACAAAAGAAACAATTGGTTTCTTGACATGGTTTTGTTGCTGCTCAAACATACGACAGGATTTTATTCCTGGTAAGATGGGAATCAGTGCCTACGAATGCTTTTTAAGCTTGTAATTATGGAAATATCAAGTTGATGTTTGAACAGTGTGGTTAAAGCAGTTGTAGTATCAATTATGTGAATACTAATCTGGATTAGTTTCTGATCTTGCATATCGTTGCTTGCACTCATAACTTCATTGCGTGACCAGTACCATGACTTTGTGCTTTTCCGCTTGCTTAAAATGAAGCAAGGAAAATATTGTGTACTGCTTTGAGGCTGTTGTGAATAAGTGCAAGATTAGCACATTCGTCGACCTCACAAATACATATTTCTTTCGTAGAGTATTCCATGTAATACTAGGAATTAGTAGAAAGTATTAGAAAAGTATTACAAGGCATACCTACACACACACACAAAAGATTAAATCTGAGCATCTTAGCTCTCAGTTGTTACTGTTTTGTTAAGAAGCACAAAAAGCTGTAAGCTTTTGTGCTAGGGTTCATTTGAGAGTCAACCTGCAAATATGAAGTTTGTGAATTAGCCACTTCTCCATTAGGATAAAATCGACTTTGGGAATGTGGAATGCTGTCCTAGCTTGTGAATCAAAAAGCTCTTTATTGTAAACAAAAGGATGCCATTTGTAAAGTGGTGTAGAATTTTTACAGGGCATGGTCAGAGAATGCCATTTTATCATTCTTTCCAAAGCATCCAGAGATTTCACTGGCATTATTAGTGTGTGAAGGATGCCAAGCTGGGCTCTAGGATAAGAACTTCTAAAAATGTGAAATTTACATTTATTGGAAAAATCCCCTTTAGTCTTATTTCCAAATAAAATATTTCCATTCTGTTTCAGTAGGAAAGGATAGTATTGTCAACAGCCAGTGATAGATGCAGTTTGTATTATAATTACACAGTTTATTGCCGATTGTAAAATTCTGTGTGATTTGGGAGGGAGATAGAAAAATAAGTGAGGAGGTGAGAGAGTGGAAAGGGGAGAAGTTACACTAAGGTCTGACATTGTGTATGTTTACAGAATTAACTTGCCACACAATAAGCTGCTCTTGGCTTCTATTTTTATACCGACAATAATCTAATAATGCAAATTGCTCAAGTTATGCCTGAGAAGTAAATGGGAGGATGAAACATACAATGGTGCCGCAAAGCTGCGTATAAATAAAACTTACTGTTAGTGAGTTAATGAGAACAACTAGGAAAAGAGTACTATAGGAAGCACAGTAAAAATTTCAGCAGTGGGTT